GGGAGAGCGAACAGGCAGGTAACAGAGAAAGTGAAGAATGGCCGCCACTCCTGCGGGCCTGGGTCAGGAGCGCTCAGCACGGAGAATAACCACGGGCAAACTTGGCACGACAAATTGGGAGAACCCTGAGCAATTACAGACCATGGAGAGAAAAACTAGAGAAACAAAAGCTGGAAACAGGAGAGAAAATAAAAAGGGCAGGTGAGGCACAGCTCTGAGAAGGCAAGAGGGACCAAGTCGAGGACTCCAGGGGATGGGCTGTGCTTACTGATCTAGATGTAATGTTTTCCTCCGTGGCCGAAGGAAATAGGGGGAGAATGCACAGGGAGGGATGTTAAAAGTATGCCCAGCACATAAAAAGTTAAAGAAGATCTCATCCAACAGTCGTATTTTTTTTAAAGTTGGAGACTGGGGCAGGGGGTCCGGGGGACTAGTTGAACAGGGCATCAGAACAATGGTGATGTGTATCTGTTAATCCCAAACTCCTTACTATGTATAAAATAGATAAACAGTAAGAGCCTACTGTACAGCACAGGGAACTATATTAAATTTCTTGTAATGAGCTGTAGTGGAAAAGAATCTGTGCGTATATAAATCTATATATACACACATATAACTGAATCGCTTTGTTGTACACCTGAAACTAACATTATAAATCGACTACACTTTAATAAAAAATAAGACTTAAAAAAAGAGCAATGGTACAAGCAGCATCTTCTCCCCTCCCCACCATACACTTGAAACTATCTAATTTATTGCCCCTTTTTCCTTCAGTAAAATGAGAGGCTGAGGAGGCAGAGCCAGAGGGCTGACTTTAATTTAGAGTGCATTCACTTAACAAGCGTCTACTGTCACCACTATAAAAGTGCAAATACATGCTTGCTAACCATCACTACAACATCTGTACTCCAAGGTCAGGAGGGAACGCAGTAGCTTCACCCACGTGGTGGCACCCAGAACAGTGAACGCTCAGCAACATGTTTAACTGCATGTGGCTATTTCTGCATTAGAACAGGCAGACAGCATGTTCATTTAAGCCAACACACACTTTCTGTTCCTTACAAGCAAAGATAAACATTTAAAATAACTTCTCAAGACATCCACCTCAGTCTTCATGAAAAGTAAAGCAGGGAGACTGGACTACTGTCGTTATTCAGGTAGCTTATAGATTTCTTTCATGGAATTTAAAATGGTTCTCCACTCTGAAAGTGAACATAAACTTAAATATTTCATTAACCTACTCAATTTTCCATCAAAGGAACCTGAACTTCACAGGTGGTGATTTCAGGGATGACTCGTAAAATGAATTCTCCCGACAACTAAACTGGGAAGCAACAGCTGCTTTCTCGTTTCTGCTTCTCACTCCCTCCTCACTGGTGTGCCTTTTGGCAAGTCATAACCGTGCCATCTCATCTCCAGGTGCTAACAGATGCAAACTTGAGTGGTTCTAGCCAGGCATGCGCTCTGCTGACACGAAGGTACTCCGACTGCCACTCCTCCCGGCTGGTTTTGTTTCCGTGCTCTCAGAAAAGGGTGACGAGGGCGTGTGTTGAGGATGCCAAAGTGGAAAGCCACACAGAGGGACAGCTCCTCTCAGCGCCCTCCAGGAACGCGTGGCGCCACAGGAGAGGACCACACTCAGGTTTTATACGACATGGCTCTCAGTCTTAAAGTCCCACTATCAAACTGAAGTGAAGAATCTCATATTCACAGTTCATTTTACAAAGTAGTTTATGGGAAAATTCAATTGGTGTTCACAGCAACCCTGGAAGATACTGGTCTCCAGTTCCAATCACCCTCTCTAACCACTGCAGAGAAGCCGGTGTGCTCCCATACCAGCTCGTGCACATTTCCCTCGTAGCACTCATCAATTTCTACGTTACCCACTCATCTATGAGCTCCTGAATGGCAGAAGTCCTGTCTCTTGTTATCTCTGTGGTCCTCCCGCTGAATAATACTCTCGTCTGCAGAAGACACCTTATAAGGGGAAATGCTTAGTGACAACTTCCCACTGGCTGTGACAGATCTTCTCTTATCCTTTAATATTCATAGTGAGCCAGGACCAGCTCCTCAGCAACTCACAACCCACCACATAGGAAGAGAAGAGGGATCGGACAGGACAGAAAGGCAGATGGAGAGAATATGGTTATTGCAATATCAACTTACAACGTCTTAGAACACTCGTCAACAAGAAGCCAACAATATACTTTTTATAGCAGCTACTACCTCTTGTAACCAATAACCAATCTATTTCCTATTCTGTTTGTCCTCTATGATGAAATTTTGAAGAATACAAACAGCATTGGCACTGGAAATCACCCACTGCCTAATAAAATACACAATAGTGGGCAAATGTTACTGTTGTATATACGCTTATAAAATGGAAAAGAGAAACAGGGAAAAAATGCTTTTGTAGAGAGAATTTCAGTGATACTGAATATCAACAGGTTATAATGGCTGTAATAGTCATAAATAAGATAAGTATTCATAAAAACAAGAGTTTTAAAAATCCACCCTTATTTGGGTAACAGAATGTGACAATAGAAAATACCTGTCTCTTTAAATGAATCTTACATAATCAAAACCAGATTCCACTCAGTGGCTTGGATGACTTTTCTCAACATAAATTTCAAAGCATGGCTAACACAGCATCACACCCCAAAGGAGAGGAGAGAAAATGAAGCCATGCAACTGCAACCGTCTGTAATTCCTGTT